GGAAAAAAAAAAAAAAAACTATGGCCACTAGACCTCTCACTACTACTACTACTACTAGGAGTGAAAGTTTGTGGGGAGGAGGTTAAACAGTACTTTCGTACTGGATGTGATGGAATGGAGTGGTGAAAAGTTTACAACTCTGTTAAATGATTAAAGAGAATCGATTCCAACACCTCGCTACCTGAGATAATTCTCTATATTTGTTGTTTACATTAATGAAAATGTAAACAACAAATATAGAGAATTATCTCAGGTAGCGAGGTGTAACCAGAATGAGATAAAATGGAAAGAAAATTTAGTCTATCAAAGCCAACGCTTTGAAAATCTGATCTCAGACAGTTAAATAACCACTATAGTGAAGTGGCAGAAGACTCCATCCCCACTTGAGACATTTTAAACAAGACCGGACAAAGCAATTAAGGGCAAATGTTGATGTCAAAACACAGGCAGAGTAGCTGGCTTGTATATTAACTAGTTCCTTGAAGGCTGGGGAAGGGAAGAATCCTCCCCATGTGAAGTGGCAGAACAGCAGCAGCAGCATGGTCTAACAGTTGCTAGTGTGGGGTCAGTGTTTCAGAAGTGTACAAGGAAGAATGGCTGATAGATCCATGAAGTCACATGTTCTGACCTGACTCCCAATCTTCCCCTGTAGGGTGGTGTAGAAAGAGCCCTGCTGTGAAGAGCCCTAGGCTCTATAGCACACAGGGAGTACCCATGCATTGCAATGCCTCACAGCATTCTGCCCTTGAACTCCCCTACATTGGCACCATTCCAGTTCCACTACCAGCATGAGCTGGCATACCTGTGAAGGTGGTGGTGGGATTTGTCACTAACGGAATATGCTACCTCTGAAGAACATATTTAAGATTTTATTAAACTGTACTTTAACACACGCCTGTCAAGTATAATAGCCTTTAAAAATCTAAAAATTAGAAAAAGAAAAGTGGAAGACATGGCAGAAACTTATTTTCCCTGGTTTAAGAAAATACTGAAGCAAATCAGACACAACCAGAACACCACTCAGATGACAAGAGTAGTATCTATTTTAGGAGAGATCTTATTCACTTTATACATCGATGACCTGGAAAAAAGTGCACAACATTTACTTTCAATATAAAATTGAAAATAAAACAAAGGCAGAGGGCAATAGAATTTATCACAATTGGAGATCGTAGGGACATTAAGATGGATCTCTCATCAGGAGATCCTAATGACCAATTTTTAAACAAAGCTCTGCTTTAAAGGACTGCAGCCTAGAATTACTCTTCCCAAGGGTACAAACACCTGTTTAATCACTTAGCACTCTGAGCTATATCTAATAAGACAAAGATCATTTTTCTTTTAATATAGAAAGTGAATAATCTGTGCCTTTCATATATAGTAGTTACAGCTTTGGATCAGCTACTTCCATCTTTCCTTGAAGCTAACAGCCAAGACCCAAATCAGGTGATGGCAGCCTCGCCAGAAAAGAAAGTCTCGCAAGAGGACTCAAGCTTTGGCCAAAAATGTATTTGGCTAAGGTATTTCAGTGTGTAAGAAGCCTTGAAAATAGAGCCAGGGGTATGGGACTTGATTGAGATGCAGATGAAGAGGAAATGTCAAAGCCCTTGAGATATCAAGAAGTCCACATTCAACATCGGTGAGAAAGATGATAGGCCACATCCGAAGTATTCAGCCCAATCCTGGAACAAGTAGCAGTCTTTCCTACACAACAGAACAGGAGTTAGGGTAAGCAGGAAATCTCTCACAGTAAGCACAACGGACATCCTTGAAAAAGTATTATACTTAGCACTTTGTTTCTATACTTTTAATCTTGAAAATAAGTTCTAACTGCTTCAGTTTTCAGGGAAGGAGCATTTGCAGTCCTTCATTGTCCCACTTTAATTTATGCAAATAATTTTACACAAAGTTTGGATTACCAGAATGTCACTGTCCGATTTACATTTTTCAATACCACTGCACTTTTTGTATATATGGTTCCTTCTTTCTAATAGATCACCACACAATGCCAGGCACCCCAGCAAACATACAATGACACCAGAAGGCAGCACTCCTCTTTACCTTCTGCTGAATATTCTGCTACCTCCAAGGCAGGAAGTCCATACACGAAGCCCTTCTGGAATCTACGAACACAGCAGAAGTAAAAGGCAGAGAAGTTTATGTAGATTTAAAGGTTACACTTCTCAAAACACAACAATGCCAAATTCCTAAATGCTATGCTTAGTTTATTATTACGTTGTTTACAGACTTGTCAATGTACTATATTTACATAAATAAATGCCCAAAACAAAGCAATTACTAGGATTCAGCATCCAAAATGTAATCTGAGTCTACATTTTGTTTAAAAAAAAAATTAGAAAAGGGAAAGTTCTCAATTCTACATTGTATTAGAAGTAGTATTGCTACATACGCTGCACACAGACAGTAATTTTTAAAAATTGCATATTTATTTAATCAGAGGAGCCACTCTAAACCAAAGGACAAATGACTGGACAGATTTTTTTTTTAAAGTAGTCTAGTTAAATAAATGTTACACTAAAATAATAAGATACAGGAAACTTACAGGACAGCAAACTAGATAAAAGTTATAAACAAGCTTTTATTACAAGATACTATTAGAAACATAAATATAGCCCGATTTTGCCCTTCATTTGGTAAATATATTCAGCTGCATTTTTAGAATAGACACTACGAACATAGCTGCCTTTCTGTTTATTTGTCTCTCTATCCACCAGGGTCTATGCACTCAGAAGGTGTTTACAGCTTAAGGAATAAATCAGATTCACTACCCACTGCTGCAAAATTCATGCTTTAAAATGCCATATTTATATGTTCTTCTACTTTGCATTTCTAGAGAACCTACCGTAAGACCTGAAAGAGTATTGCAAAAGCTAAGAAAGTCTCAGAGCACCCATGATAGACAGGTATTTATCCACATTTTACATATGGGGAAACAAGAGAGATTAAGTGATTTAACCAAGACAACCGTGAATCCGTGTGTTTATGGTGAATATTCTGGATTTAATAAAGCCTACCCATGAGCTAGACCGTAACCTGAGCCAGGATGGAGACAAGCACTTTCTCAGAGAAGGTCTTGCACTGGTATTTATGCAAAAAGAACCTTGCAGGCAATGCAGGAGACATTCATGAACCGGGTCTTTTCTGTTCCAGCACCATTAGTAGTAGGTTAAACTAGTTCTCTTCCTTCTCTCCAGTAACTTCTAAACTAGGAGAATCAGAGATAAATCCTAATTGATTGTAAAGGCCTCAGACTACTATACAATCAGCAATCCCAGCAAGTTTTTAGGGTTTCTACTTGCTAATTAGAAAGAGTTTATTAGCTGCAGTTTTTCTAACCCTATTGTAGGACACAACAGAAAAACCTCTTCTTTGGCGATTCACTCTCCTTTCCACTCAGAGACTGCCTCTGCTACTACCACCCTCTTGATGAAGGTTCATAGAGATATCACCAAGCTAAAGAACTGTCACCACTGCTAAAATTAAGCTGACTCCACAGTACCACTAGTGAATAGGAACTATAATATATGCAGGTAAGTTTCTTCCTAGGCAATGGATACTACGTTTGACAGTCCGTAATGTAAAATGTAATGTAAAAGCAAATGTCCCCATATTCAATAATTCTGAAGTGCTAAAAATTCAGCTACTTTAGTTCCGGGTCCAGATAAGTTCTTTCAGCCTTTACTAGAACTTACATATATTGTTGTTTCTCCACAATCTGACATGACTGACTGGTTAAAAAAAAAAAAGTTACTAACCTGTTCTGTAACTGTTGTCTTTCAAAATGTGTTACACATGCCCATTCCATTTCAGGTGTGTGCATGTCAACTGCAGAGACAGATTCTTTTTTCCCTTAGCGGTACCTGTCAGGGTGGCACTTCCTCATGCTGCTGCATGATGATATAAAGTGGGGTGCCACCTCAGACTCCCTTCTCAGTTCCCTCTTACTGAACAGACTCTGACAGATAGGAAGGTGAGTCATAGAATAGACACGTATAATACATCTCAAAAAACAGTAACAGAACAAGGTTAGTAAGCATTTTTTCCTTCAATTGATTGCACATATCCATTCCACTTCAGGTGACTCCCAAGCAGTTCAAACCAGAGGTCTGTTTCACAGTCTACCTGAACAAGGACTGAAGAAGTACTCATCCAAACTTGGCATCATCTCCAGAATGCTGAGATATAATGTAATAAGTAGTAAAAATATGTACCAATGACTATTAATTGCAGCTCTACAAATGTCAGATATAGCTACTTGAGCCAAAAAAAGTTGCTTGAGATCTCAGAGCATGCTACCACCCTGCTTGGAGAGGGTACATTGGCAATATCATAGCACAGGCATATGTAGGACAAAATCCAGGATGCAATCCTCTGCTTTGAGACTGAAAGACCTTTCATCCTGCCCACAACAGACAAACAGCTGGGATGACTATCTAGTCCTGTCCAAGTAAAAAGCCATCGCCCTTCTAACATTTAAGGTATGGAGCCTCTCCTCATCCTGATGAGAAGAAATAAATAAATAAATAAATTATAAATTAATGGAGATATCCTATCTCCTAGAACTGGAAGAGACCTTGAAAGGTCATTGCCTTCACTAACAGGACCAAGTACTGATTTTTTTCCCAGATCCCTAAGAGGCCCCCTCAAGGATTGAACTCACAACCCTGGGTTTAGCAGGCCAATGCTCAAACCACTGAGCTATCCCTCCCCCCTAAGAATGGGACTTAGGAAATAAAGCCATTGAGTATATGTCTTGATTGGGGTAGAATTCCAATACTACTATAGTCAGGAATTTCAGATGTGGCAGTACACATACCTCAGCCATATTAAAAAAAAAAAAAAAAAAAAAAGAAGTAAGGAGGGTCAGCTACCAATGCTCATACTCCACTACCCTTCTTCTGGAGGTAATACCTCCCAAAAATACTTCTTTAAGAGAAAGTTGCAGTAAAGAGCCTGCAGCCATCAGTTCAAAGGACAGAACCATCAAAACTTGTTCATCTAAGTGCCAAGGAGGAATGGGATCCATCACATGGAGAGAACCCCTGACCAAATGCTTTAAGAATCTGATTGACAAAACATTCAAAAATACTAAGCAGCCTGCGATTGATGGCTGGAGACAGCTATCAGCTGAACTCTGACAGAACTAAATCAATAGGTCTTGTTGTTTCAGGTGGAACAAACAGTTCAAAATATATTGGAGAGGCCAGGAGTGGTGAAAAATCACCATTCTGTTTTGACTATAAAGGAGAATCATTTCTACTACAACGGGTAAATGTATCTAGTAGTTGGCTCCCTACTATTCAGCTGAATGTTCTGCACATTCTCTGAACACTTCACTCTTGAGGTGTTAACCATAGAGCATCCAGGCCATCAGATGGAGAGCAACTGGGTTGGGATATAGCAAGTGACCATGGTCCTGGGAGCTCAGCTTGAGTTCTGGAGGTAGTGTCAAAAGAGTCCTAGCAGAGAGGCTCAGGAGATTGGAGAACCAATACTGTTAAGGCCAAGCTGGTAATATAAAGATGATGCAAGCATGATCTAAATTGAGCCTGAACACGCCCATGGGAAGGGATGAAATGGGAGCATAGGCATACACCAGTTCATCTTTCGTAGAAAGTAAAAAAGCATCAATCAGAAATCCCGGATTGTGAGCTCCTCTGGAATAGGGTGACCAGATAGCAAGTGTGAAAAATCGGGACAGGAGGTGGGGAGTAATAGGAACCCATATAAAAATAAGCCACAAATATCGGGACTGTCCCTATAAAATCGGGACATCTGGTCACCCTACTCTGGAACAAGAAACTTGGCACTTTCTTAGCAAACAGGTCTATGTAAGTAACTCCCTGCCCCCAAGTTTGAAAAAGGAATCTCACGTTATCTGAACTAACAGGCCACTCAATCTCTGTTGAAGGATCTGCTATACTATGAACACAAAGAAGGTGGGAGGCTTTGAGGTGTATTGCATTGGCAATACCAAACTCCCAAAGATGTATTGCCTCTTGATAGAGATGGTCTGATACAGCCCCTCCCTACATATTCATTTAGAATATTGCCACAATGTTGTCCATGAGAACATGCAGCCTCTCCACCGTGATGGGAGAAAAGCCCAACAGGCCAGATGAACAGCCCGCATGTCCACACATTTATGTGGACAGCCAAATCTTCATGAGATCATAGACTTTGAGTTGGTAGATTTTGTAGGTGAGCTCCCCAACCTAGAGAAGAAACATCCTTAACTAGAGCCAGTGTGGATAAGAGAGAGCCAAAGTGAACTCTCTCCCATACTCTCATTGGCCGGATGCATCCACAAGTCCAAGGAGACAAACCTAATAGCTTTATTTGACAGGTTAACAAGCCTTGTGCATAGGAGGGAAGCAGTAGATGTGGTATATCTTCACTTTAGTAAGGCTTTTGATATGGTCTTACATGACCGTCTCATAAATAAACTAGGGAAATACAACCTAGATGGAGCTACTATAAGGTGGGTGGGTAACTGGTTGGAAAACTATTCCCAGAGAGTAGTTATCAGTGGTTCACAGTCAAGCTGGAAGGACATATCAAGTGAGGTCCCGCAGGGATCAGTTCTGAGTCCAGATCTGTTCAATAGCTTCATCAATGATTTAGACAATGGCATAAAGAGTACACTTATAAAGTTTGTGGATGATACCAAGCTGGAGGGGTTGCAAGTGCTTTGGAGAATAGGATTAAAATTCAAACTGTTTCTCCAGTTCTTCCAGATCAGTCTGAAGTAAACTGAATGAAATTCAATACAGAAACATGTAAAGTATTCCACTTACGAAGGAACAATCAGTTGCATACATACAAAATGGGAAATGATTGCCTAGGAAGGAATACTGCAAAAAGGGATCTGGGGGTCATATTGGGTCACAAGTTAAATGAGTCAACAGTGTAACACTGCTGCAAAAAAAGCAAACATCATTCTGGGCTGTATTAGCAGGAGTCGTTGTAAACAAGACACAAGAAGTAATTCTTCCACTCTACTCCGCACTGATTAGGTCTCAATAGAAGTATTGTGTCCACTTCTGGACACCACATTTCAGGAAAGATATGGACAAACTGGAGAAACTCCAGAGAAGAAAAA